ACTCTCACTCTTCCTTCATGCTTCACTCTCACTCTTCCTTCATGCTTCACTCTCACTCTTCCTTCATGCTTCACTCTCACTCTTCCTTCATGCTTTACTCTCACGCTTCCTTCATGCTTCACTCTCACNTCACTCTTCCTTCATGCTTCACTCTCACTCTTCCTTCATGCTTTACTCTCACGCTTCCTTCATGCTTCACTCTCACTCTTCCTTCATGCTTCACTTTCACTCTTCCTTCATGCTTCACTCTCACTCTTCCTTCATGCTTCACTTTCATGCTTCCTTCATGCTTAGTGATTCCTGTGTGAGTGTACCCAAAACTGGATGCAAGCATGTTAATCAGTGATCAATCCTTTATTGTCATTTTGGGTGTAATATATGCAATGAATACTGACATAAAGGCATTAACACTCTTAGAATGGAATCTACAAGTTCATCAGCTACGGGATCAAGTGAAGATGACCAAGAAATTGATATTGAATCTTCTGATTCACTTGAACACAAGAGAAGAAAGGTAGACTTGAAGATCAAATTTCAATGTAGGAATAGCAAAAAGGCATCTATAATTATAACTGCTCTTGCCTCTCATCATGAGCTCTGGCCTCTCTCAATGCGACCCAATTTCCACGGGGAAATCCCACGGCGCAAGATGTATTTATTTATTTACTATTTATTCATTTATTTATTCATTTTTTTATTTATTCATTTATTTATTCATTCACTTGTTCATTTGTTCGTTCGTTCGTTCGTTCGTTCGTTCGTTCGTTCGTTCGTTCGTTCATGTATTTTTATTTTTATTTATTTATTTGTTTATTAACTGTTGTTGTTTTTCCCCAGTTTTCTCCAGAGTTGAGGTATTTTCACAATGATGACAGGAATAGAATATCACAGCAAGATAAATGTAGTTCTTATCAAAAAGAGTAAGTTATAAATTATTCTTTTTACTATGCATATTATATATGTCACTATTAATCGTCAATCCTGAAATTTTGCCAAACGAAAAGGGGCAATTACTTCCTTTATCACATATAGGGCAAAATTACTCAATGCTGATTGGCTAATGAAGGAGAGCTTTTTTCTGTCATTCGCAGGGCTGAATTACTAGATTATGATTGTTAGTTCAGTTGCCTAGCAACGCTTAAGCTCAGTGATTGATGATATTCTTTTGTAAAGGAGAAAACCTTGAAGTATTATTGTCAAAAGTTTGATAGAAGAGAGCAAATGTAATGAAGAAACACGTTTGAATTCTGAATTAAATTATTTTAGGATTAATTTCACTTGTGTTTTCAAGTTTTGAAGTTGCCCTTGTCACGACCTATACTAAATATAAGCATAAAAGAAGCTAGAGTTGACCCCTACTCATTCTTCATGCTGCACTATCATGCTTCCTTCATGCTTCCTTCAGGCTTACCCACCACCAGCTAAAATGAGCCTCATGCTGTCTTTGTTTTCAGAATGCGATGTGCGTTATGCAACTGCTCAAATGATGACAGACTTGGCCAGGGTCACTTGGTTTGTTTTGGTAGGTTAACATCAGTTGTCCACCAGACACACTCGCCAATTGCAGAACAAAGCAAGTTTTTACAGACGTCATCTGGAATCAACGGAACATCTGGTAATAAGATGCTTGTTACAGGCCTTTCTGAAAAATGGCAAAACAGATTAGAGAACATGAGTGAAGGTGATGAGCAAGAAGAAGAGAAGACAATGACTACAGTAGATGAGGATTCCAGAGGCAGCAGTATCCATAATAGGTACTATTAGTATTTTAACACAAGTGAATATAATAATCTGGCACGCTTATTGGTCACAGTTTACATTTTATGTTGTTATTATCACCTACAATTTTGAAAAATGGCGATGAGCCGTTTTCTCCATTATTTATTAATGTTGTCTCCATTATTTATTAAATTTACTTGTGTTAGAAATACTAAAAGAATTATTCACCTCAAGCACAGTATTTGTGAGATACTTAGTTAATGATCATATTTATGAAGTAAAGATAATTGGTTATTAGTCATTGATTTTATTTACTGTATAGAAAAGCAACAATATAATAGCCATGGCAACAGAGCTACCATTTAATACTGTTTGATAAAGGAGTGTTTTGACGAGTATAAAACACGAGGCGCAGCCGAGTGGTTTTAGACCCGATAAAACACGATCTGCAAGTTTATTAAACGGCTTAAAAAACTCATGATGTATGATGCAAGTTTGATGGAGAAAATCCAAGTTAAAGTTTATGCAAATGAAGCCGAATCAAGGGTGCCAGGACAGACGGATTGGGTTTTGAATATGTGTGATTGTTTCAGTTTTATTCGTAGATTATATCGTAATTGATATATGTTTGTTTCTAAATGGATACTAAATAGTGTTCACTTATCTTTAAAAATAAACGTCCTTTCCAGCCAACGGTCTTTCTGGTTTGAATCAGCCGTACGATATGAATATATTGACCACGTCCACCAACGGTCGTCTTTCTGGTTTGAATCAGCTGTACGATATGAATATATTGACCACGTCCGATCCACCAACGGTCTTTCTGGTTTGAATCAGCTGAATGCTCTGTGTATTTACCGCTGCACTCTCCGTGCCAAGCAGCGCCGGCGCCGCTTCGTTAGCGATTACTCACCTTTAAACCTTTAATAAGTTAATCAAATTTACCTTCAGTACAGTAAAATAGACCGGGGTAGGAAAGCAAGAGCGGTTCTTTTGTGCTCTCGTCTGCTCTGATAATCCAATTATTTTGGCAGTACATAGGGCACTTTGTTTACACAGCGATGACAGATATGACTTTGGCGAACGCAAAACGAACTGCCCGAACCACGGTGCGTTCTTCGTAATACGAACTCGAGGTCAAGTTAGCCAACGATCATTGTGATCGATTTACAAAGTGTGTTATGGTGCGGTTCGTGGGATCATAGTAATGGGTAAGGTAGTGGGTTCCTGAAATACCTTCAAAATCGATAACAAAATAAATGCCCGAAATATTTTTAGATTCTCAAAAAAATAAATGCGCTATCTGGGCCCACTTGTAGCCAACCGATGGAGATATGATATATGATCTGTGATATAGTTAAATATGTATCATCATCTAACTTTCTCTGCACTAGGGAATGTCGATTATTATTGTGTGGGTTCCTGTCTATGTACAAATGGCTTTTTATCTAGCAGGGTTTGCTTTCGATTTCCCATTTGATTTGTTCCTATGATCTATTTGCGATTACTTTACCGGCTATTGAAAAATGTACGTTACACTGAGGCACAGACGGGCCTGTTCTCGAGGACGGGTCTGTCATCGAGAGAGTGTCGTATTACGAAGAACGAACCGTGGTTTGGGCAGTTCATTTTGCGTTCGCCAAAGTCATATCTGTCATCGCTGTGTAAACAAAGTGCCCTATGTACTGCCAAAATAATTGGATTATCCGAGCAGACRAGAGCACAAAAGAACCGCTCTTGCTTTCCTACCCCGGTCTATTTTACTGTACTGAAGGTAAATTTGATTAACTTATTAAAGGAGAGTAATCGCTAACGAAGCTACGACGGCGCTGCTTGGCACGGATAGTACAGCGGTAAATACACAGAGCGTTGAGCTGATTCAAACCAGAAAGACCGTTGGTGGACGTGGTAAATATATTCATATTGTACGGCTGATTCGAACCAGAAAGACCGTTGGATGGAAAGATAAGTGAACACTATTTAGTATCCATTTAGAAACAAACATATATCAATTCAATTAGAAATCTACGAATAAAACTGAAACAATCACACATATTTAAAACCCAATCCGTCTGTCTTAGCGCCCTTGGCCGAATCTATATCAAAATTTGATATAATTAAATATATTATAATTAATATATTTAATATAAAACCCCCTCATGGTCATGATTTCTATTATGTTTCCATCATGAATTATTAATGAGTTTTTTAATGCCTTTTATAGGTTTCTATCAATTTTTCCATACCCTTGCATAATAATGGAGATTTGTACTCTTTATGGCCCCTTCATTCTATCCCCTTTAAAAAATGCCTTGTAAATAGTAAAAAGCAATACAATACGATAAATTTTATTTAAAAAGGGTGACCCACGTAATAACCCAGTGAGTTATCTAAAAATAGAATAAAACATAAGTAATAAAAGGTATTAATATGAAGCTTCCATTTTTCTAGTCCCAAAACACCTAATGGCATCACAAGTGTTGGATTCAAGGTAGAACAGCAGCTGTCTGATCTGTGTGATGCATCTGGGCGTGTGTGGGTGCATGAAAAGTGTGCCACGTGGACCCTCTCCTCTATTGCTTCAAGTTCCCCATCAGGGTTGACAGTGGACATAACAAATCAAATATTAACCAAGGTAAAGAATATCAAAGCAAAATGGCTTTGCTGTCTCCTAAATTCCTATTGGATTATCAATTAACAGCCACTTTAATTTATGGAACCATCCCAAGTTTTATTTTTATGTTATGATCATGATACATACATACTTACATACATACTTTATTGAATGCTCCTAAAAAGGCTTTTCAACAGCAATTTACAATAAAAATGGTGAAAATAGATTATTACATTGAGAAAAATTGATACAGGGCATCATTGCCAAGTCCTACCCAGAGACATTACATCGCACTGACGCTAAACTTACAACTACTAAATTTACTACAGAATAACTAACTAATTCAAACTGATTAGAGCTGTACTCCAGGGGCAGCAATCCCCTGTATAGCAGCTGTCAGAGATAGTAATAATGATAATAATGGGGTTCTTGTATAGCACATTTCACATTGTCTCAATGCGCTTTACATTTATGAGCAGTGGAGGACTTTACGGGCTGCATATTATTAAGGCAGCCGTGCAGCTTACAATCATGAGTGATTTGTTAGTACATTAGTGTTATGCCTCCAAATTGGGATAGGCTGTTGAACCGGAAGACAATCCCCTACTCTTACACGAATAATTCAACAGTTTCTTTCATGTCCCCCATTTACTGTTGGTTAGGAAGGGTTGGGAGACAGGGCCTATGGTTTTAAGTCCTTGTCCAAGAAGACTTGAAGGTCTAATCATTTGCAGGTGTAATTACAAGGGCATCACCTTCTCCTCAGTCATTTTAAGACCCTGAGTGTTAGATGAGATACCTACACATGCTTTAGTTTGACCCAGTTGAGCTGCATCACTGCTTTACTTGCGTTGGTGAAAAGCAATAACCAACTGAGTTTCACCAACTGTTATTTCTCTTGAACTCTTGTTCAGAAATGTTATCATTGTGGTGGTTTTGGAGCCAGTATAAAGTGTGAAGCAGATGGCTGTCAAAAACTATATCACTTTCCTTGTGCGATGGCAGCAGGGACTTACCAGGTATTAATCTGTATAGGAAATCGCAAGATCTTGAATACAATTCAGAATTTATAGGTACGAGGAGTGATATTTTGAAAGTTTTCGAAATTGGATGAGCCTTTTAGATACATCAAGAGTATCTATCAATTCCAAATTGTACAAGAAGATTGTGCAACTTTTTGTGTACAGTCAACAAAACTGAGCAAATTAATTGGGACTCTACAGAGTACAATTTGAATGTAATGGGATTTAAATGTAAATCCTCTTGTACAATCAGAATGGAGTAATTTTGTTGAGTGTATTATCAATAGATGTACTCCAAAATTGTTGTCATATATTTTAAGAGATTTGAGGTTTTTCTCGATTTTCAAAATGTTTTCATGTCAAATTAAAATTGTTAAGCATGCAATCATGTAGCATGCTTAAAGAAATTAATTACCTAACTAAAGTTTGCAGATTTTTTTCCTGCTTGCAGGGAATCTAACATTTTTGTGTGCTTATTTGAAGGATGTCAAGACTATGAAACTGCACTGTCCAGATCATTTTTCCTTGGTAGCTTCAACAGGTTAGTATTTATTTTCCATCAATTTTTTCCCCAAATCTTGCTTTTTTGTATATTAATACATTCTCCCCCTTTTCCACTTCACTTTTAGTTAGAGAAAAAATGAAAAACAAGTGAGGGGCCATGTTTTTATGCAACAATTTTAGGGGTTCATGAATATTTTTTGTATGGGTTACCAATCAAATCCTACCCTTCAAACCCCTCCCTCCCTGAAAAATGAATAGTCCAGAGTAGTCTGGACACATAACATGCTAAAATAACATTAACATTAATTTTACAAGTCTGGTTTTGACTTTTTTTAGCATATTGTGAAAAGTGCAAGTTAGGTGGAGGTGATCTGTCAGAACTGCTGCTGTGTTCACGTTGTGGGTGCCATTATCATGGCCAATGCTGTAACCCCCCTCTTAGACCAACTGAACAAATTAGAGCTGGATGGGAATGTTTTATGTGCAAGTCATGTCAATCTTGCAGGTAATTTTGTTAATTATTGTTTGTGGGGCAGAAAGAGAAAGTTGAAGTAACAGACTGAGGGAAATGTAGTAGAGAGAATGTAGGAAGGCAAAAACAAAGGAAAAAAGACACTAAGGGAGGATAAATAGAGGGTTGGGGCAAGGAAGAAGTAAGGTATAACAAATGATCAAAAGAAGGAAAGAAGGAAGGAAAGAAGGAAGGAAGGAAAAGA